GAGCCTCCATCATAGTCCCTACCTCGGACTTTGACTCCACCTCGGTCTTAGTCCATTGCATTGGTGACCTCATACTACGTAAACACCATTGCCAATATCCCTCGGACTTTCAACCCCGCCTCCGTAACCTCCGTAAGCTCCGCAACCCCCGAGCTTCGCGGATCGCCTTCGGCACTCTCGCCACTTGTAATGTATTTCTTGCGTTTTCCCCTCATCCCTATTTGGACTACTGCTTCTTCCTATTCTAGCCAGTTAGTCATCATCCCCACTTCCCCTCATCCTCCTGCCCCTCTGGGCCTCGCCCTCCCTACCTCCTTTCGGACGTATCACAGGTCCTGCCTTATGACCTTTGGTACCGCTCCGCTCCTTCTACCCTTTGTTCCCGTTCGGACGTCTTCGTTCCGATTCGGTTACCCTTTGTTCTCCTTGTGCTTTTGCCCCTTCCATTATATATATCGGCGCTTGTACATACTCGTTTTGGTTTAGTCCGAAATCGACCTGAAATGCCCCTAGAGACTTCCTGCTCACCTACTGTGAAATTAAGGACCAAATGGACAAACAGCAATGGCACAGCGCTCCGCTTGAGTCGCTGAGGCCAAGGTCCCTCCACGCTAAGTCTCCGATTCCACTCCGGAGTCGTCCGAATCCGCCTATTCTAACAATGACCCCACATGGGGACTAGCGCACCAAGGGGTGGGGCACCGACTATCCCGCCACCCCATGGGCAGGCAACCCTGTCTGGGTTGCATAAGGGCCTGCCCTCAGAAGGGCAAACCCATGTCGAGGGGAAGAGGGAGAGCATAGGCAACCAACAGCAGACCCTAAAACGGGGACCACTGCCAGAGGTGGCAGGCCGCTGAGTACCTCAGCACCCTATGGGCAAGCTACCCTGCAGGGAAGTGTCCACATGCTATACGAGACCGCCGAACTCAACAAGTTTGGCAAAGTTGAAGCTCCAGTTGATGTAACAATTGACCCCAACTTCCCCATGAGGAGAATAGCAGGGTCAGAAGCGGCACATGAGTGGGAAAGAATTCGTACACTGGTACAAACAGGCCAAAGCCACCTTCAAAAGCGGCAAGGTACACAGAACCCGTCGCGAAAAAGCGAAGGAAACCGAGAAATACTTCTTGGGACTCCTGAGTATTGCAAGACTCGCGGAGGAGTATAATTCCCTGGAGAACAAGGGAAAAATCTCCTGGGAAAGTCTAGGCAAAGCCGCCTATCTAAAGTCCCAGTTCAAACCACTCAGGACTCCTGAGGAACGTGCCACAAGAACTGTGGAGCGGGAAGGGAAAGCTTCCAAATCCTGGGAAAGAGACGCAAGTCTCCACGCTGGACAACCAGGCCAATGACCACCCTTCCCCATGGGAAGAACGGTAGACCTACCGTACTCCACACCTGAGCCAAGTAGCTCAGGAACACAACAACCCGCTCCCACCCAGGGAGCGCCCACTTCGTCGAGCCCACAGCCCGACAATGTAGCCCAGGCTATGTCATCGCATCCGATGCAGCAATCAGATGTCCAGATGAACAACCCAGAGGAAAACCCTCCTCTGGGGCAATAACTCCACCCTTGAGGAAAGGGAAAGTGACATGGTAATATGCCATCGAGGCACCTGTGAAAACACCTTCCCCCAACTTGAGGCCCCACACACAATACTGTATGCGAGGAACCGCAAGTAACAATTGCGGAAATCTCTACTCCATCAAAAGACCCACATCCACCACCGCTCATGTGTAAACACCACTTACACACGAACCCTCACAGAACAAGTGAGGAACACCAAAGACATACAACCTTTGGGTCGAAATTCATTTTCGACAACCTCAACTACTTTTCTCCCTGCGATACCCATGTATTGCCATTCACTTCAAAGTAATGGCCCACACTCACTTATTCCCTAACCCCTTTCTCTCTCCTTCACCGACATGTACAAAAATCGCCCACTTTAAAGTGGCGACAACAAAACACTCATTGATAATTTCTGTCAGGGCAACCACACCTGACCATACAACCCCAGAACCACCTTCCCTAACCTCCCCCCACTTCCCTCATCCTCCCATCTTTCACAACTACAGCCCGCATGCGAACCCGTGGGAAAAATCACGTGGGTCAAGGCGAGCAACTCGCCTTAACCCATGTGACACCTTTTCCGCATCGCGGGAACATGCTCGGCTTCTACCCATAGTCACGCTACGAACTGTACAGTACATTTCCTTTTATAGCAGCCAAGCGGGGAATAGGGAAACTTACCCTTCTTCTCAACTCAATCCCCGCTTAGGCAAGTTGTAGCTACCTTCCATAATACATGACAACTCAATCCCCGCTTAGTGAGTTTGAGGAGCTTGGGATAGGATCCAGCACCTGGCTGCCTGGGACACCGCGAGTGTCCAGCTTTGAGGTAGGGCCGCCCCCGGACGGAGGCCGGGCCCTGACAATTTCAAACTCAATGTAAATCAATTATTAAAACTTTGTTTTCTTCACCATCAACCTTGTATGCGTTGCAAATGCAACGCAAGGGGGGAGAATGTCAGGGCAATAGCCCTGAACCCCAAGCCACATGTAATTAGATACATATAGTCACATGGGTAAGCGGGAACCTCTGGGTAACTGCTTACACACTACCGTAAACTACACACATTTGTATCACTTACAGCTCTGTGTGCTGAGCTACCCAAAGACCTCACACCTGTGTTGACCAGTTGAAGAATCTGTCTTCACTGGTCAACTCCTTATATACTGAGATGAAACAAGAGAGACATCCAAGTCATACAGGTAGTCGCAAAGCCACATGAATTGAGACAGAACTGAAATAGGCAAGACATGTGAGACATCCATCAAGTCTGTCTGGGGTTATGGCTTAACTGTAACACTTTTCCCCCAAAGTTGGGATGGCTGTCAACTCTATAGATCTATTTTCGGTGTGAATAGGAGTGAATACATGCTATGCACCTGCTCTCCAACATTGTTGAATGTTCTAAGTAGGGCTCCTAGCAGATCGGATCAGTCCGGATCCGGATCAGAATCCGCGGATTTTTAGAGGTTTGAAACAAAAACCGTATCCGGCGGTTAGAAATCCATGGATATGCGGATCAACCGCGGATTATAAATAATACGTTCCAACATTATATTTCGTTAGAACGGCCCTGATGAGAGCTTTCTAACAATACCAAATATGTCCATATTGGTGGAGAACTGACAGAGATATGGGGAAAATGGCACAAAGGATGGGTGTCAGATGCCAAATTTGGAAATAACGGGCCTGGGTGGTTAGATAGGACTTGAAAAAATTGGGAGAAAATATGGAAACATAGGAGGGGTATCTAGAAAAGTGGGATATATTTAATCCATGGATAATCTGCCTATCTGCGGACTAGAAACCGCAGATATTATCCTCTCACAAGCCACAGTAGAGTAGGAGTTAGAGTAAATATGGGGAATTTCACCCTTATTTGCCTCAGATCTCCTGCATATCTGCAAGCAATAAATCATGTGATAAAACTACGGATAATCCGCAAATCCGCGGATTAAAAACCGCAGATATTTTCCTCTGAAAATCCAAAACCGGATCCGTGAATTTCCGGATGCAGTTGCGGATATCCCCAGATCATCCGATTCGCTAGGAGCCCTAGTTCTAAGTGTTTGTGATGAACGTTTTACATATTCAAATCAATACAAAAGAGAAAGTTCAACAGCCTCAGAACGTTCATAGGCATCGGCATTTAGGCCTGTTAGGCTGGAGATCGAAAGTTCAATTTGGGTACCTAACAAGGCCTTCTACTGGGGTGTCCGTGGTGTCCGATAGTCTGTTGGAAATGGTAATGATCATTTCAAGCATTATTTTGTTTTTGGCTTACACAACCAAGTGTCAGGCTGGAACGATGAAGTTTTCTTGGTTAATTGCTTTTGCACACGAATCCCGCACACCAGCGTGAATCAAGGTAAATAGCCATCGTAAATGCTCCGCACGTCATAAAATGCGCACTGACACCATCTGAAGTTGGGTAACACAATCCACTTGCTCCGTCCGAGGAGTTCCAGCGGTCGAGTTTATCGGGAATTGTGATCACCACACCGCAAAGCACAATGATCAGTGGTGATCCGAGGCTGACTATGGGGAAGTCAGAGCCCATGTGATTTGCCTGACGGCAACCATCTGTTGGGAAACACATTTGTTAGACCCGAGGAAAGTTCATTTCCGGCGACGGTTTACTATGGTCTGATAGGAGGATAGCCAAATGCAGTTCAGCCTTGCCGGCACCGGTAAAGCTGCCCATGTGGTCTGTCCAAGCGCCTATTCCAAGGTGGAAATCAGCCACTATGACAATCGGAAGTAGAGTGATGAGAATTAAGGTATCCCAGAATCGCATTGCGAGGGTCGGCCAATACTACTTATACAAGTAATGTATGTGGCGTGATAAGTATGTTGGCTAAAAAGTTCGAGCCTTGGTCTCGAGTGGAACACCTAGAGGGCTGAGGAGAAAACGGGGGAACCATTCTTCAATAGGCTTTATACGACTCACTCAATCTTTGGAGAGTGGAAGATGGTTATCGGGATGTGTTGCAAACGGTTGTTGCAGTTGAATAGGAGATGAGACATATGTGCTCGCGACCGCAAGCGACGTGTATTTGCCATCATCTAACCAGATACAATCTGCGTGGGAAAGTTCGATTTAAACCCCACCGTGATAACTGCTACCAACTGCTTACCCCTGTACTGGTAAGTAGGATTTAGGATGCATCAATGGCCGCTCTGCCATGGGCCTGCATCCAGATTCTAACCATATATGCGCTACATTGTCCTGCCGGAATTGAGCAGTGTTGTATACTGATTGCGCGCCCCGAGGAAATTTCCTTTTAAAACACCTTATTCCTGGTTGAATGTATCGGGCCTATTATAAGCACATCCACATGTGAGGCCACTACATGTCTCAATTGGCAGGAATTTCGGCAATATTAATGATGTGGCAGCGAGCAAGAACAGTTCGGAGGATTGTTTTCACTCTTCGAAGACTGAGAAGATACCGGAATCTCCTATAAAGCCTCTGAAGGATGCCCCCCCCTGTTTCTCCTTAGTCCTCTAGGCGTTTCGCTCGAGATCGAGGTTAGATCTTGATTCATGTGGCTGTATATCTATTTATGCAACAGACATTATCTGTAGCAGTCGGCCGACCTTAACAATGCGATTCTGGAATACTTTGGTTCCAATCGCTCTACTTCCGATTGTCATGGCTGAGCTCCACTTTGGACTAGCTGCTTACTCAAGTAAAAAACCATTCGGCCTTGCTTCGTCATCCGGCCACGCTTCATTGCATTGGGTTATCCTCCCAGCCCAGAATGGTGAACCGAAGTCAGAAATGAAATCTTCTCCGGTTTAATGAATATTTTCCCCAACAGCTGGTTGCCTGGAGGCAAATGATCAGGTGGGCGGGTTCCCCACGACGATCATCCCCCTCGGTTCACCCCTGAGCGCTATAATTTGCGGTGTTTTCGTTACGATTTCCTATCGGCTTGACAGGTGGTTCGACGATAATGGAACAAGCGGAGAGTGCCACCAAGTTTATTCAGGACCTTCAGGTGTCTGGTATGCGCATTTTGCGACATGTGTCTCACCTTGGGCGGCAATTTACTTCGAACTGCGCCGGTGCCCCTCATACGTGTGCGAAGGTTGGGTTTGGGATGGTGGAGTGACCAACTCTTCAAAATAAGGGCTATGTCGCGTATGCTCAGTCTCGGATCGGAGAAGTGTATTAATATTGTAAATAACTAGTTGAACTGCTTTTGGTTGGTTGCGAAATCGATTGAGGAGATTGTGTTGTAAATACATGTTTCAGATCGCTTTCCAACAACTTGAATAAGTACCGGCATTGGATCTGATCAAGCTTTGTATGGGAACCGATACCGAAGCTAAGGAAAAAACGCCCAAGCAATGTCGGAGGCGGAGTTTGCCAATTGAACACTGACCGGGGTTGTTATCAGCCGGCAGGTGTCTGAGCGCGATATCAAGTCGATAGTTAGATATCGTGCTCTGCCCAAGTCGTGGACCCTTATGTACCTATTTGGGTGGCCAGCCAGAACAAAAGAGTACAAAGTGGTGCACAACATGAAGTTAAGAGAAGTCCTTTCCGCTGCCTGAGTGGGTGGTTACGATATGTGTGCCCCGGCGCACCATGTCGGCAATAAGGTGACTAGTGGCCCGTCCTCGTCACTGCACTACGTCGGGTTGCCATGTCAACACTTCCCCTCAACCCGACGTCCGTGCATTAGTCTAGTTCATGTACTCCATCCCTAGCATCAGGCAAAACCGGTCATGCTTTACCTTAGCTAGTGACTTCGTTAGAACGTTGGCAGCCATGTCGTTCATCCCAATGAGTTTGAGATTAATGGCACCATCTGCAACACACTCCCTAATAAAGTGGTACCAGACATCGATGTTCTTGGTTGCATATGGTTGACAGGGTTTCAAGAAAGAAGATCCACAGCTCGATTGTCGATGTGCAGGGTCGTGGGCTTTATTGTTCCTTTGTGAAGTTCTTCAAGTAGTCTTCTGAGCCATACTGCTTCCTTGGCTGCTTCGGCAGTGGTGACATATTCTGCATGTGTTGAGGACAGTGCAACTGTCATTTGCTGTTTTGACATCTAGGACACCACTCCTCCTGAGAGAAGGAATGCATATCCTGAGATCGACTTGTGATTCAGCATGTTGTTGGCCCACTTGGTAGTGCCAATGGTGCCTAAACATGCCTGCAAGGGGGCATCTGCAGCGACATTAAAAAGAAATGAGCAGTTCATTAAGAGACTGCAATCTCCCATCATGGGAGATTCAAATCAACAGCAGTCGTCAAACGATGATGAGGATCAACATGATCCGGTAAAAACAACCACCTCAGGGCTGGCCCCTGAAGGTTTTAGAAACTTACGTGGAGTAAGTGCGGGGCCCAATACCCCTAGAACTCCATGACATACCGATCTAACCCAAGCTGGGGAAGATCCCTCACCTCCTCAGGAGGTGATCGGCTTGCACGATAAACGTGTAAGCGCCAAACGATCAGCCCAAAAAGCTGATTGGATAGAGTTGCAGGAAATTCCAGGGCCCAACTATCCCCTGGAGTCCTCCCCCATGCCCCCAAGTCAAGCCCCAAAGGCAGACAAAGGGAAACAAAGGGAAGAGCCTCTGTGTTGGCTATCCAAAAAACTACTGGACTTGTTCCAGGTTCCGTCCAAATGGAGGTGTCATATCCATCCCCGGCCATCGACTTCCAGTCCCTCCGATCCCTCCGTTCCAACTCCGCTCCTCCCTCACTAACCTCGGAGCCCCCGTATTCTGCAAACCTCTCGGTACCCCTCGATGGTCATCACCCCCTCATTTCAATTTATTACCTACGCCTCCCTAAGTACGGAGCCCCGAAGACTTCTGGACAGCTCCGACGTCCGCTAGCGCACCCCCGCCTCCGCAGGGCAATACACTCGCCTGCCCTGCAGAGCCCACCTTTGGGCCTATCCCTCCTTTCCGTTTCCGGGTTAACGCCTGCCTTTCCGCTAACCCCGCGAACCGACTCGTCGGTAATATTCAGTCGGCTAATGTTTTAACCCCGTTAGCTCCGCTCCATTCGGCTCCGCCAATTGCGGAACCGTCTCCGCTGTAACCATATATATATCGCACTTGTACATAGGTTACGCCCCAGTAGTAAAATCAACTAGAGTTACCCCCCTAGGTTCTAATTGCCAGTCAGTAAGTTAGGGCACGGACGTGTCACTAGGCACAGCGCTCTTGGCAGAAGTCGCTGAGGCCGAAGCCCTCCGTTACGGAGACATTCCTTCGTCTTGAATCTGGTCTCTGACAGGAGGATGGAAAGCAAAGACCAACTTCTTCTCAGGCTGGAAGCCCGAGAAGGCACAAAAAAAACGCCCTGAGAGCAGGATCTCCCAGAGTGCAGAAGCTCCAAAAGAACTTCCGCTGTTTACACTACCCCACACCATGCCAGACAAGGCAAGGTCACCAACCTCGGAGGAGGTCTCCAAGATAATGAAGAGGAGGCGAACCGAAATGAGGGAGTTTGCTGAGGAAGCCTTATGGAAAAGTAAGGAAAAACCAGCGAACAGACCCCTCTATGAAAGGGAAGCACCCTCCACAACGGCCTTGCCTAAACAAAGTGAGCATGGAGTGTTCACTCCTAGAACCCCTTCTGGAACCCCCAGAAGCAGCAATGTCAACTGGGGAAAGTCACTGCTCACCCAACCAAACTTCCTCCTGGAAAACCAGGAATCGCACATAATAAATGCAATAAACTCGATCCAAACAAAGATCAAGGAAATGAACCACAATAGTATGGCTCGTCTAGAGATAACTCTAGAAAGAATGACCAATGCAATCGATGCATTGACTGAAAAAATCAGCAAGCAGACAGACTTGCTGAAGGAGATAAACTTCTCACAAAATAGTGAGGAAACAAAAAAAATACCCCCAGGCCATGGGCCAGGACAAAAACAGAACTTGTGAAAAATTCACGAAAAGAACCACCAGTGAAAGCACACTGGAGTATCATCAGCGACTCGACAGAGACGCTAAGGAGATCCTTCTCCCAAGGATAGGAGAAGACAATGCCAAAAGAAGGCATTGTTCAGAAATTAGGAGGAGAATCGGCACATACCAAAGGTTCGGCCAAACATCCACCTTCAACGAACCTCTCAAACAGAGAGGTAACCCAACCACACTCTCTCAAAACAATGAGAGAATCCAAATACAACTTCAGGCAAATTCGCCTGAAACCAAAGAAACGCTGTGAGGAAGATTCCCCCCAGCAAAAACCCCCCCAAAGGAGAGATCTCCATTGGATAGCGACCCTGTGAAGGCAGGGGAGCAAGAGGAGTACCTAGAGAAATGGTACGAAAAGGCCATAAGAATGGCTGAAGTGAGAATACTCACTCCCTACCCAGAGGGAGTGAAGCCTGAAGCCCTAAAAAATGGGCCGGCTTTTCCTGACAAGAAATGGTCAGGGGAGAACGACATGGAATCGTTCTGGCAGTGGTTCACAGAACTACTGGGATTCCTTGCCTCATGAGGATGCAAAGGCCCCCAATTTGACAAAGTCCATCTGGACTGCTTGATTCGTGGATTAGGGGGACCCACATTCGACCTCGAAATTAGACTCCGAGACGAAACCCTCCTCAGAGGAGATGAGGGCATGTTCCTCGAAGTTCTCAACATATTGATGAGAACTTTCATTGAAGCCTCTGCTGCATTGAACATGACAAAGAAGTACTGCAAGGTTAAATACGAAGTGGAAAAAGGCCTAAAACAGTTCTACCTAGAACTGTCCAAAGCAGTGTCCCAGATGGTGACACTGCCAGACCAGGCATCCTTCAATGCCAGGTTCCTAAACTACATTCCCCTCGAATGGAAGAGGGAAATGATCGCTCATGACAGAATCAGAGCGGACTTCTCCTCAAATGAGGAGATGTTAAAAGCAATATCTCGTGTAGATGAGATAATCAATGGGCTGAAGATGTCTTCAGCCTACAAATCGAGTATTATACCCGAACAACCACCATGGCAACCACGAGCCATGGTAGAGCTCTCCCATCAGGAAAGAAGGCTGAAGAGCTGAAATCCAGATGGAAAGAGGATACATCCTCGAAAAACTCGAGGAAAACTGACCAAAAGTCAGTTCCAATTTGCGGCAAATGCGGCAAAATAGGGCAAACAAAAGATTGCCCAAGACACAATGCAATGAGTGATGAAAAACCAAGGCACATAGCCACCATGGAGATTGTGAACACAACAGAAGAAGAGTCAGATGAAAAACCCGAGAACAACTCTGGTAACTCCGGAGCATCAAGCTTCAAAGTAGAGGACCCATACAAAGGACCTCAATACTCACCTGACTCAGAGGGTGAGGAAGTCAACGTTGGGACCATAGAATGGGCCCGATGTCAGTCATCGATTATGATGACATAATTATAAAATCAAACTGGCTGTAGCATGCCAGTTAGAAAACACAGCAGATGAAAAAGTTGCCGAAGCCTTGGTGGAAGCACCAAGAAAAGACGCCTTGGGGAAATACACCAAAGTACCCAAGGAAAACAAGGAGAAAGGGAAGAAGGACCAAAAATCCATCGAAACCCAGACCCCCTTGTTTGATGCAAAATTCCGCATCTCAAAAGACATGGGAAAATACCCTGCAAACAGACCGCTCTCAACAAAGAGAATGCTGATGGCTCATAGAAAAATAGCAGGCGTAAAAGCCTACACGCTATTTGACAGTGGAGCCAAAATGGATGCTATATCACTGGACTTCATCTGCATGGTCCATATCCCAATTCTCCAATTGGAGAACCCAGTCATCCTTCAAATGGGGATGACAGGAACAAGATCACAGATCCTGTTTGGAACAAACATGGATGTTGAAATCAACAGCCATGTAGAAAAACACTACTTCAATGTAATTAACATCAATAGATACGATGCCATATTCGGCGCCCCCTGGCTAAACAAAAACCAGGTCAGCTTAGACTTCCGGTCCCACAAAGTGAGAATGGTGAACAAGGGCAACATAGATACCCTTGGAGTCAGCGAAGACCATGTGATGAGATCACATGGATGGAAAACTCGAGCAAGAGCTCGAGAACAACCAAAAAAGAAGCCCCCCTGACAGGGAGGCAGTGTTATATCCATACATACCCGATCCCAATCTGACTCCTGGACCCCCATCTTCACCACCTCCGGAGTCCTACCCTACCGCTGTCCATTCCGATATTCAACTTCAGACCTGACACCACTCC